TTGTTTACTTTTATACCATGCAAAAATTTCCACACTCTGTTGGAGTATCTTTCTTTGCAATGGTCATAAACACAAATCTCTTCCAGTCAGATGTTCAGGTAACTGTCTTCCCAATTCCTCTGTATAGACTAGTGAGTGCCTCCAAGACGTAAAGCAGCTTGTTGAAATAGTTCATTTGTTATTTTGTCAGTTTCTGGAGCTTTTTTGTTAAAGTCTTAGGAGCAACTTGGATGTCTTCCTTCAGTACTACTGGTTCTTGATTAGATGCTATCTTTTCAAATGGTTGCATCTTGATCAATTCTTTTTAGTTTCATAACTCTATGTAGCCCTTCAATCTACTTTTTGAATTTTCTGGCATCAGTTGTTGTTGTTAGGTACTATCAAGTCAGTTCCAACCCTCTGCTCAATAGAAGGAAACCCGGTGTGGTCCTGTGCCATCCTCACCAACATTTCCATGCTTGAGCTCATTGTGGTAGCCACTGTGTCGATCCATCTCCTTGAGGGCCTTCCTCTGTTTCACTGCCCCTAACTTCACCAAGCGTGGTGTCTTTCTCCAGGGACTGGTCTCTTCTGACAACATGTCCAAAGTATATAAAATGAAGCCTTGTCATCCTTGCCTCTAAGGAGCACTCTGGCATGACTTCTTCTAAGACAGACAGGTTTGTCCTGTTAGTCATCCATGGTATTTCCAATATTCTTTTCCAGCAGTTCCCTTAGGGTTGCTAACAAATATCTGAGGGACAACCTATTGCACCGTAAGCTTCAGAGGAAGGCACTTAGCACAAGAACACTGCTCAGGGAGCCTATTTCCTGGAGCTAAGTGAGCAGAGGCACCTCATGACCATAAACCCGTCTCTTTCCCAAAGCACTCAGCTCTGTGGGGTGGGAAGTCCATCTCTCTGTCTCATGGCTGGCTTCTGGTTCTACTGCTGCTGCTCTGTTGTCATTCTTCTGGTGTCAAGGCTGTCTTTCTGGATCAGGGAGGTTCACTGCAGAGGATCTGTCTCAGGGTCCATAGGGTACATGCCACACCTGGCTCCTACTGGGAGTGAGATTTTTACCACCTTATGCTTCTGAGGCGACTTGATTTATATGCAGCAGGATAGCGATAACACTGAACCTTGATTAAAGACACCGCAATTGAATACTGTCAGTGTCTTCCACCATTTGTCTCTTTCCCAGACCCATCAGGAAGAGACTGGTTGAAGAGCAATAAGACATTCACTGTCATGCAGCGCTGCCATTTGTGGAGAGGGAAATCAATAACTTGAAGCAAAATGTGCAGAAATTGTTGAATGAAAAACTATTTTGCCCTGCAAATGTTCATTAAAATCGCAAACAACAACAACCAAAAATACAAAAGAAACAACCGTTTTTAGCTCTTTACCCAGGCAGCACAGGCGCATGATCCAAGATAGTGGGAAAGCCCCCAAAGGGAGGACCACGTTTGCCCAGACTCCTGCCTGGTGGAACTTTCTAGACCCCGCGCGCGCGTGTGTGTGTGTGTGTGTGTGTGTGTGTGTGTGTGTGTGTTTAGGGTGAAGGTGAAGGGAATGGAAGTAGGCAGAGAGCAGCTGCTTCACAGGGTGAGAAAGGAGAAATCATAGCAGGAGACTGGGGAGTTCACTAGGGAAATGGAGCAGCAGTGGGTAGCGAGAAGCTGAGGGACCGTGTCTGGGTGTGTGCTTGGTGGGAGGAGCGGGGAGCAACATACGTCCTCAGAAGGATTCTTGGTGCCCTCATCTGAGGATGAGCAGCTCATGCACAGGATGAAAGATTCTGGTCTAGCAGAGTGCAGCAACTGAGGGCTGAAAACTGCAGTGTCTTCTTGGGCTGTGCATAAAGATGCTGTGGGTTGGAATGGACTCAGCGGGACCTAACAGCAACAATACATTAAATAAATGAGGTGCCAGCATATAAATATTTCCTCAGCAGCAAGAAACAAAATAACATCCTGCGTTCCACGATCAGTATCTGTACCCATCACAGAGGAGTCCTGGTTGTGTAGGGTTTCGGAGTTGGGCTACTAACTGCAAGGTCAGCAGTTTGAAACCAGCAGCAGCTGCAAGGAAGAAAGGTGAGACTTCTGACTCCCATAAAGAGTTCCTGTCTGGGAAACTCACGCAGGCAGCTCTATCTCGTCCTGCAGGGCCTGAGTTGGCATCGACTCCATGGCAGGGAGCTGGAGTTTCATCTCCCACAGGCGCATTGTTGACTCTGACTAACGGTGACCCCATGCACAAGAGAACAAGATGTTGCCCAGTCCTGTAGCAATCCCAGCGAAGGGTGGGAATTGGGTGCTTAAAATCCAGAGGGTTTTCATTGGTTGATTTTTGGAAGCAGATGGCCAGAACTTTCGTCCTAGTCTATCTTCCGGTGGAAACCTCTTCAGCATCCTATGAACACCCAAGTCTTCACTGCAGTGGGCAGCAGACTGCACCTGGGGTTCATTGGTTGGGCATTGAAACTGGGTTTCTTATGTGGAAGGCAAGGAGCTGGCTACTGACCACCCCTGCCCTCTGCCCCTGGCACGTGTCTTTGTTGTTCGGTGCTGTCCAGTTGGTTCTGACTCATAGTGACTGGGTGGGCAACACGAGCAGACACCTTCCAGCCTTGCGCCATCCTCCCCGTTGCTACGTTCTAGCTCATCGCCGCAGCTGCCTGGCATTAAGGTACCAT